TACGGTGTAGAGAGATTAATATTTTCTTTCAAATTAACTGCTTTAATACTGATTTGGTTTAATTTTGTTTTATAGCTTTCGGTCATGTTGTTAGTTTTCTTATTTTACCATTGTGTTTCTATCACCTTGGATGTTGACATAGCCCAAAGTCATTTTCATATTTTAGCCCAGTTCTTCGCCCAACTTGGCCCAGTTCGTGTAAATCTATCGGTTGTGCCCCCAGTTCTACCTCAAATTCTGTTCTTCCAGTTTTTTCAAGGCTACCATTATTGGACTCGAAGTAGTTGGAGAAGCCAGACAGAATACAGTCTAAAGCGTTCAGACTTCGAGATGACGCGCGCCGACACGCTACCGTTGCAACCGCGCTCCAGTGCTAAGACAGGGACGCAGCCATAAACGGGTATCGATCGGCATCGGCCGCCGTCATTGTTTTTGTATGGGGGAATAGAAGGGTACGTGATGCCTGATCACGTAGTTGGCACCCTCCGTTTCCCCCATATTCTCTCAAAGCAATAGTAATCGGCACAGATCGATACTATTTGCGTTCCTGTAGCATCGGAGTGCAGCTGCAACGATAGCGTGTCGACGCGCGTCATCGCGGAGTCCAAACGCTCTATGAGCTGAGGCTGGGAGAGGAGGGATTTCGGTCGTGGTGAATGGATCAGAAAAAGAGGTTCTCGTCCTGCGTTTTCGCTTCGCCATCTATCCTCCCCCAACTACCTCGCCCTCCAGTTCTTCCTATGACATCTTCATCATGCTTCCAGATTATTATGTTCGAAAAACTTTTACATGTGCCAATAGTTTTACGGTTACATCTTCGTTCCACTGTGATTCACTTTTACATGCCCAAGTAGAGATGTTATACAAATTGTAACACTAAAATGTTTTATTACGGAGTTTATGAGGATTTAGGTGGATAAATGTTAAACTAATGGTAAAGTAAGGCGCTATTCCAGTAGAATGGGATATTTCCGCGGGGGGGGTAACAGCAAGCACGACGTCAGCTGATGGAGTTTGTGCGAAATATGGAACTTTGGCTCAAGCCTCGGGTGTGCGAGGTCCTGTTTGGGTGAAACCATTCCTTCGTGTTGCTTTGATGCCACTAGGCGCTGCACCTAGATGCCCCTCCTTATTTGGAATAGCGCCTTGGCATTCGGACGATAGGCTGCATAATATAACTTATTGGACCAGTAAATAAGTTCTTGTTGCCTTATCGTTGTTCAGCTTAACAATTGCAGCAACTGGAAGCTGTTTATTCATGAAGTGTTCCGGAGGACCGTTTCAGTTTGATATTTTTTATATTTTTCCATAATTGTTTTGTAAGCACTTTGCCTCACTTCTAATTTGCTTTCACATGCTTGGACAATTCACGTTTTCTGTTGATATTCCTAATAATTTGCACAATAAATTTCTATTTTGTTTTTATTCTTGATGTTCAGAATGCGTTCGAATCGTTACATTACTTCTTCTTTGTTTTTTTTGTGTGCAATTTTTTCGATGTTTTTAGGTTTGAGGGGGCATTTCGCACTCTGCTTGGTCCCTTTTGGTAGTTCTTGTTGAATAACACGTCTCCCCTTGGTGAGACCTGTACTTTTTTGTCAAGTATGAACGAAGCTCGTGCAATCGCAAGCATACCTTTACAAGAGTTTACTGGTACTCTCAAGAAGCATCAGCAGTGATCGGTAGGAACAAGCAGGGTGCCTCCACTTGGCCTAACTGCGCCCGTTTTTCATCTCTTATCCCTGTCGAGACAGTCTGAAATTGTCTTTCGAGTGGCACTCTGAGTGTTTTCATGCTCGATTACGTTATCAGCAAATGTCGCCTCGTTGCCCTTTCTTTGTGGTGTTTTGTCGTTTCTTTTGGGTCGTTATCACTTTATCAATAGTCGGTCGTATAAGTGACGTCCTTGAGGACACTTTTCATCGAACGTTTTACTTGTTATACAGAAATCGTATGTTCGACCAATCTACCTAATGACAAACACATTACATCTTCTGGCCAGCAGTTCGACAACAACAGCACTTGACGCGGCACGAAATCTGCTGGGTAGGTCGCTGTTTTAAGTATTTTCAGGTTTCTTTTGGTGAATTCGAATTTTGATGATTTTAGCCCATGGAGCGAATCCGTGCGCTAGATCAGATGACGGCTTGTCACCGCTGCATGTTGCGTGTGCTTACGACTGTTTGGCAATGGCACAACTGTTGATGCACTATGGCGCTGATCCACTGGCAGAAGATAATCATGGTCGCACTCCTCAGAGTTTGGCTACAGGAAATACGCAGAGGTGAGGACTATAGTTTGCTAGAGGGTTATTACATAATGGGGAACCTAAAAGTAATCGGAATTCCCTATAAAATTCACGGGCTTCATTTCCTGGAAGTGCTCCTTTTGAGGACTCACCGAATGCGGTTTCGACACATAGTTTATCTTCATTAGTAGTAATGGGAGAGTATATAACTTTTGTCCCATTGTCAAACTCCTCGTGGGTTTCATGCAGAACTGGCAGGAAAAGTAGCGTATCATTGTCTATTGCTACTGTCGCGAAGCCTGCACGAAGCCATGTGCAGCGGTACATAACAAGACAATCGCCATTTGCCGCGCTGTTGTGCATCCACAGATTACGATTTTCCTCGGTACTAGATGGCGACATTACACAATGTGTAACCGAAATAGCCATAAATGCCCGCGGTGTCGTGGTCTACATGGATTCCAACGCTCCAACGGAGGCTAATATGATTTACGAAAGCGCGGCACGAAGGCGCGCGACGTAGCGGCAAATTACGATTGTCCTGACCGTTTCTCCATATGCAAGCCCTCATACTCGCTGCTTGATTGTAATTAATGTTTTTATCTTTAATTCGGAAAAAAAGTGATGCGCAATATTCTTTCTGCGCCTGACTATGCTCTCCTCGAGCGGCTAGGCTCACCTTGAAAACATTAGTGATTTCGTTGGGTTAGGTCCGAAACGGATGTCGACGACATTTATAATCACAGCCCAAAGACACATCAGACGGCATAAATCTTATTTCAAATGGCCGCTTCGACGTGCCATTCTTCCCTGTTGGACTCGGGAGATCTCCTGTCAAATCAGCCTAGCCACATATCCTAGTATTAGAAGTACACTGGATTGCAGTCTGGCTATTTTTGCCCCCCCCCGCCTGCTCTAGGACGAGATTTGCGTTGAGCAGGATTTCCACGTGTTTTGCTTCGCGATTGCCGTGTACTTACAGTCCGATCAGGTGAGATTATCCAAGTGTAGTTCCAATATACATGGTAGTTTACAGTCATTTACGGGAATTTGAACAATTTTCCTTTTTTGGGCTCAAATAATTAGAAGGAAGGGAAAAGTGGGAAGGGGAAAATCGAGAGGTACAGACTCGAAATCTGATGTGATAAATAATTTGTCCACAGCCTAGTACTTCTGTGATAGCTTTCGGATAGCGAGTTGTAGCAAAAACCAGCAGCAGCAAGTTTTGGAAAGCATGTCACAACTGAGTAAATATTTTCTCCATATGTCATGCACTGTTGCAGGTTTCTTCAGCGAATGTTGGCCAAAAGCACGAGGGAGCAGAGAGGGATTATTCGGCGGTTATTCGCATGTCATGCGGGAATGGGAACAGCAACAAATACAAATTTCATGAGAAGCATTCGAAGAAAAGTGCGGAGATCGTTCAATGTTGGCCGCAGAAGGGCAAGCCAGGTGTGTTTCTTATCAGTCGCCGTGCACTACATATTCACCCATACATTGAATTGATTCACTCTGAAGTTCGGGCTAGATATTTATCTTTTTCGGTACTGTGGTTGGCTAAAAATCTTTTTCGTGTGATTTCACCCCTCTGAGACGAATGCCATCTGTTTAGCATAAAGTGACCTTGCAGAATTCGCAGCATCTTGTTGAGTTTTCTGATGTGATTACTGCTATTTGTAGCAGCAGTTCGCTCTTCTTAATCACAAGAATGCTGAGTCATGAGCAAAAGTTCTGGCCTCGGGCGAGGCTCGTGCCCGCGCCTCACACTTCCCGATCGAGTGCCCTATAAGCGCAGCCTGCCACACTCTCAGTTCAGTGAGCTGGGGTGAAGAGTTTTGCCCATAACTCGGCATTCTCAATATAAATGGAGTCCAGTTGGAGGTATTTCAGGTAGCGCCCCCAACTACTGAGACATCGACGAGTGCTTTTACGACAAGCGTTCCACTTTCGTCCACACGAATTAGTGAAAGGGCTTCTTCAGCGGGGACTCTTCCTCGCTCTGCTGCCCCAGGCTATCCAGACATCGACAAAATGCCGCTTCCAACGTCCTCTAAACTACCGTATTCGACTGGTAAGTCAGTGCTGTTATAGGGGTTTCAATAGACGAATTTATCTGTCACTTTGCATCAATGTTGCTTTAGCAATGCTGGGCGCAGTTCGGCTTGGTGGGGGCAGAAAATGGTGCTCAGCAAAGCTCCTACCGTCCACTTTATGAAGGCCTGTAAATGCTTGTAATCAAAGTGACCTACTTGGTTCTTTGCTGCTAGGCGGAAGTTCAGAGGTCTTACCGAAGTGAGAAATTCAGTCAACGTGGATTAGCCAAAGGAATAGGTGGGATTGCAAAATGCCGCTCCCAAGCCAAACAGCGCCAAATATTGTTCTGTCAGTTTGGTGAAAACCAACTGGGACAAAAGCTCGTATCCAATTCTCTTCAAAACTGTCTCCGAAGTCTGTGGTCAGAGCTCTAGTTGATGGCGAGAATGTGATAATTTGGAAGTTTCAGGGCCAAATCCATTCGGAGCAGCTACTGGTAAAAATCCTCATCCACCTGCGCTCCCGAAAATCGTTACAATGCCTGTTCCATCGGGTCAGAAGCGGTCGAGTAGTGATCCTGAGATAAAGTACGACCGAGACCAGTGTCCACGCTTTCCTCAACCTTCCAAAGCTTACACACCACAACATTTGCCGACTGGGACTCAAGCTACGGCACGGAAACCCATTCAGAGCCCTCCTACGACTGTCAAGGATTGCAAGTTAGTACCTAGTTGTATATTCGTTTTGCCACAAAGGGGGTTATTTATTGAGCAATGCGTTTAGACGAAGAGTGAAGAATCCACCGATAGCTATCAGGGCGCCTGAACCCTCGGAGACCTGAACCGTCAGCACCACCGATTGAAGAGATGCCCGCTGATGATCTTTCCAAGTGGTTAAGCGAAAAGGACAGCACTCAAGGTATGTAAAGAGCTAATTTGAAGGAAAGAGGTGTAGTACCAATCTGCATGGTTTTTAGATAGCCAAAGCGCTTATCTCACGGCCGATGAGAGCTTTGATATGAGGGAATTGCAGAAAAGAGTTCAGCAGGTACTTTTCCACTCCCTCATTGGATGACCTTTTAAGATTCGTGTAGAGATGAGTTTTTAGATGAAAATCGGCGAACCTATGTTATCGCCTAATGTTGACGACGGTCAGCTCCGGAAGGTTCGTCGTCTGACTGATGCGCAGTTGAAAGCTGAGCTTAGGAAAGTTGGTATCGTGGCGGGGCCTATGTGTGCAGGTGAGTTATCACAAAACAAAACGCTACATTCAAAAATACCTCCACGATGGGTTGAATGGCGGAGAAAGAGAGCGGGGCTCTTTCGACGCACCCTCGTGTTTTCCGTACCAGACGGGCTGGACGCTCCCCATTGGGGCAGGTGTATTGATTGAGGGTCTCCACCCATCCGCTTATTGCGGAGTCTATCTTCAAAATCGGTCCATGTCCTTATTCTTCGATTCTCCAGCCGGGTAGGTAAAAACCGGGTAAGTAAAAAAAACAAGCCAAGGTCGTCGATGAACTCATCCAGGCGTTCTGCGGTAATCAGACAGCAAAGGATGTTGGTTGAGCATGATAATCAGCTCTATCAACATTCATAGTGCCGAGTAGGTTCATTTTGTTCTCTACTCGGTTCTACTTGGTTTCTATGATGACTTTCTTGGGGAAAACCTCGATTTTGTCTCGTTTCAAACCTTGTATATTGCCGCTACCGTGCGCTCATATGCTCTATAAACAAGAGTAAGACCCTTTGAGCAGAACTTTCTCGTAGTTGAGGAATCATCCATCTTGGGTCTGCCCCTGCTTCATTTGAACTAAACGTATTCTTCAAAACGTGAGATTAGTCTTCAAGCCAATATCGATTGTTGAAATTAGGACTCGTGGAATGTACGAGAAAAAGTTGGTTGCAATGCGTCGTGGTGCGGCTGACGTGAAAGGAGTTCGATATTCACGTCAACTGGAAATGGCCATGTTGGACGTATCCACAGCAGAAAGAGGGAAACCTCTTGACGATCAGGTATGGTGGATTTTCAGTCAGGAATCTGAATCTCGTCTATTCTATCTATTGCTCCAGCTTTCATACTCCATGCTTTACTTCTTTGTTCACAGGTCCGAGAAGAATTCCAGCTAGCTGGTGTGAGCGCGTTCTGCTACCTGCTGTTAGATCCGAGGAAGATTTGTGTTGATGTGGATTCACTGGATTTGAAAAGTTTTGTGCCTTCAATTTTTTACGTTGGAAAAGGCTCAAAGGTGGATTTTATCAAAAGTTGTACTTTATTTTCCCTTCTTATTCGATGTGTGTTCTTTACGAAATGTTTGCGGGACAGGCAAGAACCGGGCAGCTGCACCCCGACCTATCCATCTCTATTTTGATAAAATTCGCTGAGGAGAGCAGTTGCTATAAGTCCTGTGAGAGGTGTAGGTTGCCGATGATGTCTGTGCCATGGCAGCCCATACAGCTCCCAGAATTCGTGACTTCTGCCTCTCGTTTTCCATTATGACCAGTGAATTTTGTTAAAATGAAAATGTGTGGAAGCGGGAGGAGGGGAGGGGCCGATTGTGGTGTTCTGATTCCCTCTTTCAGAAAAAAAGCTCCCAGTCCACTTCCATTTTCTTAGAAAAACGCACACATAAATGCTGCTACAACTCTCATTGGATATTGGGGGCCCTATTGCTCGACACCTCGCACCGCGGCTAAGTTCGGTCGTTCGAGCCGCGCGCTGAATTAGTGGTACTTCCCCATTTTCGCCTTTTAAGTGTGAGCCTCATAAGTGAGATCGCGGCTCTATGTGCCTTGGAAGGGACTAGCCGTTTTCAAGAGAGGCTAAGCTTTGGGATGTGAATCACTCATCACCCCATCCCGGAGACAGCTTTCCCTCTAAAAATTGCCCTACGGCTAGGCTCTGACTCAGAACTACCGGCTGGCCTCCCCGAGGCTCGCGGCGCCGTGATCGATCATCATGGATGCTTTACTATTTGTCTTCAATCATTTTTCTTTTCAGGCACGTCCTTTAGCTCATTTGATTGAAGCAAAGAAGGAAAAGGAAGTGAAGTCGCCAAAAATGGTTGGTACAGCCTGTATATTGCACGTGTTTCTACCTTGCTTAATTTCCTCATAGACTTTCTGCCGCCTCTTCTGTAAGTGGTCCTTTGCACAATTCCAGGTCTCAAACGCGAAGCTCCGACGTATTGATTCAATCTGGGAAAACGGATACGGTGTCATTTGTTTACAAATCAGTCACAGTGTCTCCGATGAAGAAGGCGTTTGTTCGAGAAGCTGCCCTCATTGAAGCGCTGAAACTAGAAAATTTGACCAATATGAAGGTAATTGGCAACAAATATTGAAACAGTTCTAGAGGATTCGGCTTCCATTAAACGTTACCACTTTTGCATGATCACCCTCTCCCCACCAGTTTTTTGGTTTTTGGGGTTCGGTGGTCTTTTGCGAAAACAGAAAATTCCTTCGGAAAAGTGGTATAAGGTTGGCGAGAATCCAGGAAGATGGCAAGTAGGATGGGGGGGGGGAGGAGGTCATACCAGAGGGAATTTGAGGGGGTATGTCGTATTTTGCAAAATTTCCTGTACGGGAGGACGTGCTCTGTCTGAAACACTGGCTCTTATCAGTCGCGGTTCAATAATCAAAAATGAGTGAGGGCTACAAGGCGTTGTAAATTCGCGCGGAAAAGGAGCAGAAGACTTTAGCCAGGTCGTTATTAAGTGCGTGACCTCTGATCACTATGATTTGCTTTAACCGTTGCGGTTGCTCAAAAGCGCATTCCTTAATTACTGGATATGTGGAATTCCTTTTCTGTACGGCATAGCTCGGTTAGAGGTTATGTCGTTTGAAGGTGAGTAACGAGAGCGCTGAAGCAGTCATTTGCTATACTAGCTCCTCCCGTCAGTTAGAGGTTCCACCAAGAAGTACAGTCTTCGCGAATGCTGGGGCGTGTCGAAATACTAGGTTTTGCGTTGCGCCAGCATACCAGTGCCGCAAGGACTCGCGATATTATCTGGGTGGAACTACCAGCAGGATACAGCATCGTGATGCGTGGAATGGTGATGAAGTACGCCACCCCACTAGAGGGAGGGTTTCAATACGCCCACCCACTTAAATGAAGGCCCCGGTAAGACCCCGCCCCCTTCCTTTCCCAAAACCTCCCTACCAATTTTTCCATTTCCGTCTACAACCTTGGAGAAAATTTTCTTGACTCCTTTCCGCAACACCGCTAAAATACACTCCCTTCCCAGCGGAGAAAGTACGAGCCTATTGTTTTCACAGGATGCTCTCCTTACTACCAATGTTGGCTATATGTATAGATGCTCGCTCATCTTCCATTTACCTTACCCTTTGTCCGGCTCTCTCAACCGCGATCCCAGTGTCTCCTCGCCTCTCTTTTCCGGCTAGACAAATGGTCAAAATTAGCTGTAAGAATGAGGGCCTTATTAGAGCTGTTTTGAACGATGCTCCTATCTTCTTCGCTTTTAAGTCAGTTGACATCTACAAACTCGGCTTGGAATTGGCGCTTTCATTAGTTCCTTTTGCCTTATCGTGTGAACCGACAGGTCTCGTTTTGACGAGACCTGTAAACTCGTGTGAGGCTGCGAAATGTACAAGTTAGCCACCGAAACCGCCACAGTTACAAGAGTGTACAGGTTCTCACAGGGTAGCCTGTACACTTCGCTGAGTGCCATTCGGTGCCCCTTCCAAGCTGAGCCGCGGCCAAATTCATAGTTGGACCCTACCAGCCACGACTCGCAATCGTAGAAAACGTCTTCAATGTGTTTTTTTTGGTTTTGTACTCAAGATTTTCTGAAAACGAACTTGAGAAGTTTTTCAGGGCGGCGAATGGCGCGGTAAGAGCAAATCTTGGACGCCAGCTATGAAAGCAGAGTTTGGCACATATCAGCTGCTGAGAGCGATGGGTGTGCTCAAAATGGAAGGTATCCGTCCGATATTCCCTCAGGCGCTTCCTGACTCATTGTATCCATTTGCACAGAAGAAAAATGTGTAAATTAGGTAGATATTGTTAGAAATTCCGAGCGACCCTTTTGTTTATGGAGAAATCGATTGAGTTGGCAACCCACCGACGCTCTTTAAGGAGTGTTTGCATGATTTTGTTGACCGTAGGCTCGTATTATCCGTGAATTAGACTTAGTTTTGTTAATTTCGATTAGTTTTCTAGTTTTTTTTTCTAACCTTTCGTTCTCAAGCTTGTACTCATTTCGCCTTTTTTAATGGCAGGTTTAGTGTTTTGTAGTTTCTCTGGCGCAAGTCTGTTGAGGGTGGAGTCATTCTAAGGGGAGAGGTCAAGACTATCGTAATTTGCCGCGATGTCGCAGGCGATGGGCGCAACATCTTCTTGACATGAGTTAGCCTGTCGATCGGAGCACCGGATTTCATGTTACGCCATCGTAGACATTTGGCCATTTCAGTTACATATTGTCTACTGCCACCATTCATCGTCTTGAAGGATCGCCTTTTGCGTGCGCGACGTCGCACGCGGCGAATTACGATTGTCCTGTCACATACTTCATCTGAAGGCTCCTTGTGCGAAATTCCGATTGCCCTAGTGATTCTCGTCTGAATTTAGAAGCGAAAAAGGTTATGGATAGGTGAACCCTTTTCAGCAAACGGTATTCGCATGAAGGTGATCGCAATTTCTGCTGAGGAATCTTTTGACCCCCCCCCTATCCACCACACTTGGTGACTGCGCCCTTTCCCGACCGAGAAGCAGCTTTTTGTTACTGTCTGCAGCGTTAACGTTGTCCCCTCTTCTAAATGCCATGCCTTTGACATGACTTCCACTGTGAGCCAAATCGTCGACTCGGATCAATAGTGCCTTTTGTTGGTCCCGTAGATGTACTGAGCTGTGTTTTTTTTTGATACTCGATTTGTTGCTTGAAACATTCATGAACATTAACACCTAGCACTCACGTTAACAAGGGTGCCTTCCGCATTTTGCACGTTAGGCTTACAGCGTGGCTATAATCGTCAGTCTTGTGGTTAGTGGTAGCCAGGTTAGTTGTAGGCTTGATTTATAGTCGTCTTGTCTCATCTGACGATTTCAGTCTTTTTTTGTTTGATTGTGCGCAAGCCGTTATCAGTCAACGCAGTTGGCTTTATTCAAGTCAACGCAGTTGGCTTTGTTTATATTGATTTTGTTTATGTATAAATGTGGATAAAATTCAGAATAGCTTGTCTTGAAGAGTGCTTTGGTTCTCACCGTGGTTATCTTGTGTTGAAGGTGAAATAGGATCTATTGTAGGTAGGCTATTTGGACATTAACGTTTTGGAGGGCGAGGGGGATTGTATTTCGCGGCGAAAGGAGTGCAGCGAAATAAACGTTCCAAGCGTGGTGATGAGCGCAGCATTCGCATTAGGAGAGGCACCTAAGGTTTGGTAAGGAGGGGGCGTAACACAGGCGGTGTGGGGTGTCCGCGCCCCAACGCCACATTTTGATGCGGAGACCTGGGACGTTTAAAACCACTACGTGTATTTTTCGGTGCAAGTTCGCCGAGCGATGCGGAGGGGGAAGGCAAGTTTGTGATTTCTCGTCAACATATCGGGTAATTTTGTAAGTCCTTAGTAACTGCTGTGAAGCTGCGAAATGCTACGAGTTCATTTCTAGCGAGGCCATATTTTCCGGAAAGCTAAATAAGTCGAGAAATGACGCGAAAATGAAATTGATACTATTTATAAACTTGCAGGAGTATACAGGACTTTACAAATATCCGATGTGTTGACCGTCCCATCTAAGAACTTGCGTCTTCTCTGTTCCTGCTTCTGTTTCTCTTTTACTTTACTTTCGGTGAAATAGAACTTTCTCCGTAATCTTAGGAGCTCCGAAATGGATGGAGTTCTACCCCCCCCCCCTTGGTTCCGGCGAAACCCTCTTGAACTGGTTCACGAACAATATACTTGCGTCTTCCAGCAGTAGATGTTTTCCCACATTCAAGAACATGGAAGCGATTGCGTGTGGACGGAGTTTGTAGCACTTTGTAGTTTTAATAAAAACCTTTTACCGAGCGTGGATGGCTGTGCGACTGTATGTTACGAACTGTTGAGCCAAAATGTCTAATTGTATTCGACTGATGCCGTAAATTATAGTAATTGGGTCACATTAGTTGTAAAGGTAGGTAGAGGTGACAATAAACGGGGATGGGTTGGCGTGGGTAAAGATCCAGGTTGCGATATTACTCTCCGTATATCGCCGCTATATTGGATGCACTGCAGGGAGACTATTAGTGATTCCACAGTGTCCCTGATAAGCCGAATAACTGCAGATTGTTGCACTAAAAGCTGTGAAGAGTACCTAAAATACTACCGCTACTGTACTTTAATAAAATTTTAAGGAGTAGAGCAGTCTTACCGCTATGAGCAGCAGTCGTGAGAAGAGACGGGCTATAAGATGTGCAGCACGTGATATTGTTTGTGGAATACCAAATTCTCAAGAAGATAGGATACTCGATTTGCCCTCAGTTTCATCGGTACCTGCTTATGAATGCTTTGCTGAAAGGATTTCGGAATCAAGGTGATCAGTCTTCTGTTTTAATGCTTTTGAGCAAGCGTCCTTTGTTGCCTTGTTTCTCGGTATTAATCATGCATAACCCTTCATTATTATTTATTTATCCATTTATATTATGAGCAATGTTGTGAAAAACATCGCTCAAAGGAAAACATTACAAATTCCATGACAGGAACAACGAGGAAAAGGAAAACAATTGCAACTACGCTTATGTAGTTGTTTCAGATGCCTACGGTCAAAAGATGCCAAACCGCCTTTGATGGATGTGGTTTACTTAAAATGTAAATAAACTTACCAGGGAGGTCGTTCAGGATATGGCGCGCTTTTTGAAAACGGTTTTTTGCATTGTGTAGGGGCACGTTCATGGACTACCAAACTGACGTTCATTTTTCCTAAATGGCTCTTTGAATACCAAAAAAGGAGTGAAGAAGAAATGTAAGGAAACGGGCTGGTTTTGAGCTTCTATGGGCTCCAAATCACTTCCAACTTTGACCAGTGGCTGAGTAGTGGGTCCTTATAAAGGCACTATAGGTATCGAGGAGGAAAGTAGTCGCGAATGGGGTCTTATTTGCGGCACGTGATTGACAGCGAACGCCTCTGGGCGGCTTGTCGGGATGGTTTCTTCAATGATGGGAGCGGTGTTCAGCTACAAACGATCGGATGGCCTATGGTATAGCGTGGAGGATTCCTCACCGACAGGAACTTATGGGGGGGGTTGGTGCTGACGGTTTCGACTCCCTCGGCGTGCGCAACTTCTGCATTTTTAGTATTTGCTACCCTCGCCTCCATAAATGGTCTGCTTGCATGAGGAAATAACATTGGATATTTCGCCATTATGGCAATATCTTACCTGTAGGATCTCGCGAGTCGGTATTATAACACTGTTACAATTTCTCCTACAATTAGGCAAGGCTGCTGCCGAAAACTGATTTTTACGTGTAAGTAAGTGATGAGATTATCAATTTGGTACTTAATTTTAGCTGTGGTGCCATTTGACTCCGATTTGCATCCACATCACTCTCCTACGGAATTCACTATGGAAATCCATACAAGGGACGTTTCGCGCTATCCTGCCGTCAGATTGCGTCAGCGCCAGAAATAAGTGTCAGAATCGTGTTCAGGACCATCAATAACCCCTATAGACGAAGAATCGCTCAAAAATTTTTTCCGACCGTCTTTGGTTAAGGCGGCCCATTTGGTCGACGATTATGACCGAAGTTCTACATCCCTCAAGGGCGGTGACGTAAAGATGACGTAGCGCGCCGCCGAGCAGCCGCATCGCGAATTCGCTGCACCAAAGGTCCTTCCATGCAGTTATAAGTCTGGATGCATGTGGAATACGTGAACAACCATCGTGGACCTTTGTCGACCCCTAGCGGGTGCTCACCGACGAAGGTGTCATTCTCCTCCAGCCGCAGAACAGAGTCGTTTAAGTTTGCAAAATTCCAAATGCACCTGGAGGGATGTCTGGATTTTTCTTTTCCCAGTGGTGCATCTTGTTGTCAGTTTTATGTTTACTAAATCTGAATTGGACGGTTAAATAGCAGGCAAAGTAGGATTTCAGTGGAGAGGCTCGGTGTACACAATCCAATACACACACCCAAAAAGGTCGAAAAATTTTTTTGAGCGATTCTTCGTCTATAGGGGTTATTGATGGTCCTGAACACGATTCTGACACTTATTTCTGGCGCTGACGCAATCTGACGGCAGGATAGCGCGAAACGTCCCTTGTATGGATTTCCATAGTGAATTCCGTAGGAGAGTGATGTGGATGCAAATCGGAGTCAAATGGCACCACAGCTAAAATTAAGTACCAAATTGATAATCTCATCACTTACTTACACGTAAAATCAGTTTTCGGCAGCAGCCTTGCCTAATTGTAGGAGAAAACTGTAATAGTGTTATAATACCGAGTCGCGGATCCTACAGGTAAGAATTTGCCCATAAATGGCAATATCCATGTTATCCTCATGCAGAGACATTTA